GTAATGTAGGTATGAAGTATCCAAGTACCTACCTAGTGATAAAGTGTATCTTTCTGGCATCAACTCTGTGTCATATTCGTATGAGCATATACACCCGGATTTGACTTAGCAAGTATCTGGGCGTTGAGAACACAATGCTGCCGAGAAGATTAGAGGTTTCCACGAGAGCTAGTTATGTGGACTTAATTCAACTGTTATCATTTATAAGTGAGGTGGTCAGTACAAGCCATCTTACGGATACACGTAAGTCCTATTGCTTCATATTTCTTATGAAAAGAGTGGACAACGTCTCAATCGACCCGTAGCGCCCATAATCTAAAAGTTAGTTTTGGGTTTTAGGTTGTTCTCCCACCAAGCTGACACACACCCGTTTGCAGTGACAAATTTGCCTTGAATGATGGAAGTTATCGCTCTTCGGCATGTATTGGCATGCAATGGCAGGTTTTGGGAGCAATGTCCTGCAGCTCGTACGTATGTGACTTGAGGAGCTTTGTTACATCGATGTTCTAGAGCATTGTTGTACTTCAAGCGGCCCTATCAGCTGCTGCTACTGCGTTAATGTTATGGGTTCTCTTAGAACGCTTGTACTGCATTAGAAAGGGGGATGGGTAACGCTCAATTGGAGTCTAATTAACAAGTACGCTTGATAAGAAGTATGTTGCAGCCCAATAGGTGAGAATTCATGGCTACTGAGTGGAGACATCCAGAGTTACATTGCGGTTCATTGGCTAGGGAAGCCTCCCGCTGGTCATGATCTCGGGGTAAGTACCATGATCAACGGTGATGCTACTGCATTCAGTTTGGAAAGAAAGATGAGACTCACACTTGCTCGTACTTCTTTGTGCCCCCTGCATTCAAGTACCCGAGTGTTTCTCTGATGCTTGGGTAGAAATGTTGTCTTGAATGATCCATGAACAGCTTGCATCGTATTGGTTGATGTATGCAATGTTATTGTTTGATGTGCTGACGAATTGAGCCACGCTAGTGTTTGGTTCGATGCCCTCAATACGTGCTGTCGGTAACAGGCGTCACTGCTACAATGCTTTAACCCTGTAAGCTTGTACGTGAAAGTTCAAAATGCCGTGGAACGTTCTTAATCGAGAGAAATTTGTCTGCGATATTGCTTAGTATCATGTACAATTTGATAGACAACAATTCATTCGAGGAATTCGAACCACGTTGGAAGCAGAAGATAAGAATCGAAGCTTAGAGTAAAGCATGCACCGCCCTAGTCATCACCAATTCACTATGCGTGCTTGCTGACACCTGGCGATATACATTTATCAATATTTGCATGTCTCCCCCCTATTCAGTATGTGCCATGTAAATTTGCATAGAGTATGATAATTCTATCAGCATTGTGTGATTGGTCATAAAGAGTGCAGAGTGGCAAATCAGTTGACCTGTAAAGTTCCAGTACGTCCTCGGGACCCCACAGTGTGAAACTTCACAGCAGCATAGGGGCACCGGAAATTGTTATCTGGTAATGTATTCGGCGACCTGAGCTTGCTCAAACATTCTAGGGACCCGCTGTCAAGATTGGCATTGTGGCGTCGAAATCTCATCTTCCCACAGCATCTGAAAGTGGTAATGTCTGGGAGCATGGAATATGAATACCTATTTTGTGATAAAAGTTGTTGGAAAACAAGACACAAAGAGGTATGATTAATATTGATGTATGTCTTAAAATTCGAGAAGCACATTGATCAAGCGGAGGTAGGTCCATGCTTAATCAGAAGAACCTTGCCCTGCGCATCATCCCTACTCTGCGCAATCGACTGGCGGGAGCCTCAACCTCAATTTGATCAAAGAGCCGGCTCGTAGGGCTGGGGCTGGTGAGCAATATTACACAAGAACCCACACATCAATGTCACGTAGCAACGTTTGATAAAGTGAGTTGGCGCCAAGATTCTAGCTGACGTGATAGATGAAGAATAAGAACAGCAAAGCTACCAAAGTAAGTTCAACGCCTGTACATAGCCACATGCCGCATGCTTGCATACTCGGTAACAGATCTGGAGTCAACATTGAAACGTGGAAAACAAGATTCTGACAGCAGATAATGCAGGCAGGGCTTAAGGTCCTCTGTTTCTAGCTTCTACGAAGATATTATTTTCGGTGATTTGGACTTTGACACCAGCCCAGCCAATTCTGCTGGCTACAAGGAATTCTCGGAATGACTAGCTCTCGAGGTCTCAAAGGCAGACTTCTTGCTCTAGAAGCATAGGTAAAGGGTACGAATCTGAACATTGGTAAGTTATGGGAGAGAGAGAGAATCTGTAGATTGATATGGGTGACTTGGGACTACAGTGAACCTGAAAGCTTTCAAGCAAGTTTTGCCGGTTTCTTGTAAGATAATTGGACAATTGAGTTGAGGAATTTCTTTGCTTTGTGAAGGGAAAGAACCGGTACCTGTAAATGTGTATGGTATCTTGTATGATGGATGTTGTTGCTGTTCTGCAAGAGGTTAGACAACCTTCAGGGGAGGGGAGCACCGCATCGCTGCTTTTCGTGAAACTCTGTGGATTGCTCTTGAACCTCGCTCCCTCGGTAGACCTCGGCGCAAATCGAACAAGGGCAAAAATTTGCAAACAATAAAGCAGCACGTCAAGTGAGCCTATGTGGCTGACATTAGACGAGATATCTTGGCTAATTATATGGATATATGCACGACCACGCCAGCCATGAAAATGGTACTTCGGACGCTCCGTCCGAAATCACCCACATCAACCACCACATTCATTCAAAGGATATGAGGGTTCTGGGCTTCCATCTTTCTCATCCGTCATTGTGCCGATATTGGATTATCTGCAGAGAATTTCTTCTTCCGAAAAGCACCGGACCGATATGCAAGATCGAGCTTAGATCTGATTTCGCATATACAAGGGACCTAAGCCATGGATGGCTTGCAGCTACATTGATGCCCTCTTCAGCAGGACATGATATGCTATCTCCATATGCGTTCGAATTCTGGAATCATTGGGTACGTGACACCAGATTAACATACCCAAACCGTCACCCGGCATAATTTTAACATGCACGAGGTTTTAATCTCGTGTGCCGGCTTTCCTGCCTCTTGGGTGCGCGTTGTCCCGTGAAAAGGTATACCTTAGAAACGCGGTCTCTCCGATTAGATGTAGTGAGCTTCAAGAAAATGCAGCGCCTCAAAAGAATGTGAATTTATACAGGGTAAGTTGCCTTAATCTGGTGAGGAGGAAGAAGTTATGGAAGCAACGTTGAAAGACAACATAGTGGATGATGATGAAGAAGATGAAGAGGAAGAAGGTGAGACGTGAGATGTGAGAATAAGGTGATACAGAATGCTGCTGTTCTGACTAAACAATGAAAATTTAGGATATTACATACGAGGTTCAAAACGGAGAAGATACCGAAATTAATGACAGTGTCAATGAACAATTGTGAAAGCCTCTCAAGCCAAGCCAATTTTTGATATCAGCAAGGCCGCCATAGAGATGGGTATGTAGGTATGAAAGCATGCATGAAGATAGATCGGAATGGCTTTTCCCAAATCTTTTCTTGACATGGGGGGAACATGATGGATATAGATGTACTGTAACCTGCAAATGCAAATGCAAATGCACCAATGCGATATATTAGGACCCTCAACTTTCAATGATGAGGTGGATGTAAGGTTGATGGTGTGATTTAGGACTACTTGATAATACATTTAATGAAAAGATGTTACATAGGTGCAGATCTATGTAGTTGAGCAATATGGATGATTGAAATGGGTGTATATGTGTATATGTGTATATATGTATATACGTGTGTATATATATATATATATATGTAGCCAATAGATTGATTGATGAATTAGTGAGCCACCTGCTTACTCATTGACTATATTATGTAGGTAGTACTGAGAAGTATCTACTAGGTATATATCACAATATCAGAGATCTCAGATGTAGTAAATTCTAGAATTTCATACTGCTGAACCATCATACAGATAATATATACTTACACGATTGTAAACATCGTAATCTAAATCTTGAAATGGATTAAAATCATGTAGAGATACATAATACTACATTTGAACGGTCAACTCCTACATACTCCTATTCCTATTCCTACTCCTACTGTCAAATTGTGAATGTTACCTTTCTACCCTTTCTCCCTTTCCACTTGACTCCTTTTAGTTAATTTGATTAGAATCACAATCTCGGTAGAGTAGCTATTTTCAATAGACAGGCATATCATATCTAATTGGCTTTGTCTGTTTTTTTGTTTGTTTTCCTTCTGCTTGTTCCATGGCGGCACCGACCGATGAAAACTCCAACATACATTTCCTAGGTAAATACATACATACATACACACTTACTTACATATTATCCATTATCAAAATTCATTTTCTTTTCCCTTTCAATCTTGCTTGCATCTCTACATCTCTCGCTCTGCATCTGCATCCGCATCGGAAAAAGGAAAGGAAAGAAAAAAAAAAAGAAGAAAATCTTCAGCACTGCTATTACTACTCTGAATGATCTTTCCCCTGTTCGCTGACGGAACTTACACTGCCCAGCGCGCCTCGCCTTTTCCAGAGCACAACACCACTTAATCCATCAATTACCAAACCTCACTATCACTATAACACATTAGTGCACCCGCCTATCACGACCTTGTGCATCGCATCTTCCGACCGATTCTCCCCTCCCGTCTGTTCCTAAACACACCAACCCAACCTACATGCAATTCTGCCCCACGTTGGAATATCGACGTATTCAATTAATTACTAGGAACCTAGCTAAGAATATCCTCCTCTACCGGCTATAAAGATATCTGCCGAATCCACCTTCAAAGCTCGATCAATCAATCAATCTTGTCTCTCGACATCATATCACTTCGATCGGGTTCATTCTTGTCGCCGTTCCGCAAGCTATCACCTTACCCCTCGTCGCGGCTTTGTGCCGACAAAAAGCAATTAATAATCAACAATCTTTCGTTGCTCATAGCATTTCATCACTTCGACGTCTACAATCAATATGTCTGGGTATCCGGGATACAATAATGGAGGCTATGGAGCACCAAACCAGCAGTACCCGCCCCAACCCTACTACCCGTAGGATCAATTTCCTCCTCTCTATGCAGTTCTCTTAGAATTCTCACTTACTTTCATCAGCCCTCAACCAACATACGGAGCTCCTCCTCCCCAAGGCGGAGGCTACGGATATCACCAACCTCCACCTCCACAACAACCCTATGGATATTCTCAAGTAAGAGGTTCATACACGCAGCCGTTTGTTCCTGATACTAATTATCTCTCTCCAACAGCCCCCTCCTCAGCAATACGGCGGATACAATGGTGTGCCATCTAACGCGCCACAATATGGCAGCCCAGGTTCGCAAGAATAGTCTCGGAGTTGTAGCGGAAATACTGATTAATTTCCCCAGGAATACCCTCAGTCAGCTCAAACGCATATACAAATGGCAATCAGAATGCTCCACCACCACCACCACAGGGAATGCACTCATTTGGACAAGGTGCCCCTCAAGGCTATGCCTTTCAATATTCTAACTGCACAGGAAAACGCAAAGCACTCCTAATAGGTATCAATTATTTCGGTCAGCGTGGTCAATTGCGTGGATGTATCAACGACGTCAAGAATATGTCATCATATTTGCATGAAAACTTTGGGTATCAGCGGGACGATATGGTTCTTCTTACGGACGATCAACAAAACCCAATGAGTCAGCCTACCAAGCAAAATATATTACGAGCCATGCATTGGCTGGTAAAGGATGCTCGACCCAATGATTCGTTATTCTTCCATTATTCTGGTAAGTAATCCAACATGTAAAAATAATACTTACTTGTATTGACGTCTGCAGGACATGGTGGCCAAACCAAGGATTTGGATGGCGATGAAGAAGATGGTTACGATGAAGTTATTTACCCAGTCGATTTCAGACAAGTTGGTCACATTGTCGACGACGAGATGCATAGAATTATGGTCCAGCCTCTGCAACCTGGTGTCCGATTGACAGCAATTTTTGACTCGTGCCATTCCGGAACTGCCCTCGACTTGCCATATGTTTACTCCACTCAAGGGGTTCTCAAAGAACCAAATCTTGCGAAAGAAGCGGGCCAAGGTCTTCTTGGCGTTATTTCTTCTTACAGTCAAGGTGACATGAGCGGTGTTGCGAGTAATTTAATGGGATTCTTCAAGAAAGCAACGACTGGAGATGATGCTTATAACAAGACACTGGCTACCAAAACATCGCCCGCTGATGTGATTATGTGGTCCGGAAGCAAGGATGATCAAACATCGTCAGTATACTTTTTACCGTGTCATTGTTATGGATGAGCATTCCGAAGAACAGGAGAACCCCTTGTCACAATGTGTTTCAAGGGCGTCCTGTGGCATTCTTAGCGTCAGAGTTTATGCTATCTTCCGGATACTGAACTTCATTTTGGTCATACATGTACATAAAAATAGTCACGTTTAATTTATAAAGCCCAAGGTCTGTACCAGTAGCCAAGTCTGGCGAAGATACAGACCAAGGGCCGCGAGTTACGTTGGGTCGAGTGACCTAGCTGACCTCCATCCATATACCTTACATTTCTGGTCATGAACAGGGGCTGACGATTTTTACACAGAGCCGATGCTACCATTGCTGCACAAGCAACCGGTGCCATGTCATGGGCTTTCATTACCGCTATGAAGAAAAATCCACAACAGAGTTACGTCCAACTTTTGAACAGTATTAGAGACGAACTCGCTACCAAGTACACCCAGAAACCGCAACTCAGTTGTAGTCATCCGTTGAGTATGTCCCCCCCCTTGCCTTTACAGTCCGCCTAGTGATGCTAATGACAGCAGACACCAATCTTCTCTTTGTCATGTAAAAAGTCGCACAAATGTATTAAAGGGTTTATGATGCAAGGGACAACATTTTAAGGCATGCATATGGACGGGAATTGGGAAAGCATGCAGCTATGAGGTCTATGAAGAACGAATTGCTCAATGGGAAGGAACAATGATGGGTTGCGGGTTTATGATCTTTTTTTTTGGATTTGATGAATCGAGGACTTGACGGCTGGTTCTGGCATATTTCTTTTCCTTGACAAAATGAATGATAGTAAGGGCTGAGATGGATGGATAATGAATACCATGCCACTGAGACGTTTTTCTCAAGACTGTTTGCCCGAGACGCTCTCTAAGGTTGTATTATTCATATGGTAATAATTTATCTCTGCACGCCATAGACCCAACTACTATAAGTTATTTCCATCCTAATCCACGGTATACCATGAAACATAACTATGATCCCCAATTGATTCAACCTCAACTCCAAAAAGATACAGTAAGTATTTTGCTAACTCGACCTTCCCATACCCAATTCAGTACAATTCCAATGCATATTGCATATAATCATTTCTGCATTCATACTCCCGCTATCCTAACAATGACAAATTTCATTACTCGACAAAGGAATTTTGAGGAGAAAAATGATAGGGAAAGAACGCCTGAGATAGGGAATGAAAAATAAAAGAGAGTACCCAAACATTACTGCAATCCCTTCACTCAATCCTTCATCCCCTCATTCCTCTCCTTCAAGATATCCCTCACGGCACTCTTAAGACTACTCTTCCTCGCGACACTGAAAGCCGGATTGACGATCGGTTGTGCTTGATTTGCCTTAACGGGTGATGCATTCCGCGATACATCTCTGGATCCAGCACGAGATGCCGAGCGCGACCCAGAGCTTTCTTTCCTTGCCGATAATGAAGCTGGAATTTCTTCTCTTGCTGCATTTTCCTGAGATGAAATTCTCTTTGCTCGATTAGCTCTCATGACCTCTAATTTCCCGAGAATCTTCTGGTGGATTTTCTTATTTTGATCCCATGCTTCTGCGCCTTTGCGCATGCGGAGACCGGCTATGATTAAGAAAGCTACGGTACGGATCGTGGCCTTAGGTTTAGGGGCGGGCGCGGGCTCGGGTATTAAACTTGTTTGGCGGAGGAGGCGGAGATCGGCTTTGTTGCTAGTGGAATGTTAGTGAATGTAGTGTTAAGCGGATTTGAAAAGGGGGAGCTTACCATGCATCATACATGTTGATTTTAGCGGTTAGATATTTCTTCGCGTATGCCAAATCGGCGCGCTTGCTTTCTTCTCGAGCACAACGGGCTTTCATCCATTCGATTTGCATGCAGAGACCCTTTAACTCCTTTCCGTGTTTGTCATCTCTCTTTTCAATTTCTTTCGAAAACCGCTTCTCTAGTTCGTCTCTGTCCTTCTTTAATGCTTGGATTTCGTCTTCGGTATATGAAATTGACATATTTGGGAATCTAACACCGCTGCTAAGAGTCCGCTTTTCGGCTTCCCATTCACTCTTCGCCTTGATGTAGTCTTCCTTCGACTTGACGTATTCCTCCTCAAGAAGTTCCAATTGTTCTTTGGCGGTAAGAGCCCTGGCACGCTCTCGGTTGCGTTCATCACGGACCCGGCGGAGACTGCTGCGAAGCTCAACTTCCTTAGCGCTTACACTTTGGATTGCAGTTTCACGTTCTTTGATAAGGAGTTGTAAAGATTCGCGTTGAATTTGAGCTTCCTGAAGCATTTCGTGAAGATCTCTGCGCTCAAGAGCAATGGTGTGGTTTTCTCCACTATTTGCACGTTCAGCCATGAGAGCTTTCTGGAGACGATCGATTTTGTCACTGAGTCTGTTGATAGCTGCCTCAAAAGAGGCATTTCTTGTTGAGAGCTCATCTTTGGTAAGGCGTAGTTCATCCAATTGACGCTCCAATTGGTCTTTCTCGGCTTCCCAACTTTGTTCTTGATGTTGGAAGTTGATGTTCAAGGCGTTGATTTTTCGTGCTGCTTCTCTGTCTGATTCCTTCATTCGAGAACGAAGATCTTTGAGAGACTGATGTGCTTCTGAAAGTTGATGACGAAGTAGACCGATTTCCTTGTGAGTAGAGCCACCAACTGAAGCTGGCGAAGAGGCGATGTTAAAACGTGCCATATCGGACTCGTGAACTTTACGTTCAAGCTCAGCAATTTGTCGTTTGAGACCCTTAACCTTATCCTTGTGAGCGGTTTCACGTTGAATGTATTCATTCTCTTTTTGACGTAATGCTGTGAGATCTTGTTTGATTTCAGACAATTCGTGAGAATTCTCGTTATGCTGATCACCCGATGCTGGCTGACTTGCCAATTCCAGGATTCGCTCTTCTAGCTTGCTAATAGTCTTCCTGGCTGTAGCTAACTCTCGCTTTTCGGATGAGCCGCGGAGTATACGATGTAGGTCCTGAATCTCGGCGTTAAGGCGAGCTTCTTCGGTACTGGCTCTCTCAATCTCTTCATTCAGCTCCTTTTCGATAGCTTTTTGCTCTGCCACGGCAACTTTGTGGTCCTCACGAAGTCGGCGAACTTCATTATCAAGCTTCATCTTGGCTGTTCGAAGCTCAACTCTCTCCTCTTCGAGACGGAATGTTTCGTCTTCTTGTTGCTTCAAAGCCCTTAATTGACTCGAGATCTCATCTTTTTCGGCCTTGAGTTCAGCATTCGATGATCGGAGAGTGTGAAGTTCGAGGTTGACTTTTCCAATTTGGTCTTGCAAGTTTTGTTTCTCCAATCGCACCTTTGATAGTTGGGCCTCGTGATTCTGCAAAAGCTTGTTTAAGCTCTCTTTCGATCCTTGATCAGCTTGTAAGTCGCTATGGAACACCTCCAGTTCTGCTCTTGCACTAGTGGCTGCGGCTTCTGCTTTAGCGAGATCTTGCTTAAGAGTCTGTAACTGTCTTCGAAGACTGTCAGATTCGTGTCTGGCAGCACTAACATCTTGGTTGGCTTGATCGCTTTCCTCGTCAAGACTAGTTTGCAGAATCTCAACTTCATCCTCCAGGCCCTCAATCTTTTCAGTCAAGGATCTTTGCTCACGCTGGCTAAGTCTAAGCTCTTCACGAACACTAGCCAGTTCGGATCTTGACTCTTCCAATGCTTTGCGACGAGCTTGAACATCTTCGTTCAACTCGTTAATTTGGCGTGTAAGAAGAGCTTCTTGACTCTCGTGTCTCTCTTTCTCGCTGCGCATAGCCTCTCGAAGTTTCGACTCTCTCCCAGATAAGGAACCTTCGGTCTGTTGAAGTCGATCGATAGTTTTCTGGAGGCTTGCCGCCTGTTCTTCGGCACGGGCTCGTTGGGTTTCAAGATTGCGTTTTTCGGTCTCCCAGTTTTCAATATCATCATCGTACAGGCGTTCTTTCTCCCGAATTTCTGCTTTTAGATCCTCAACTTCATGACCAAGGCGTTCTATCTCTTCTGTGTATTGATCCCGCACGTCACGTTCATTACCAAGTGCCAAAGTCTTCTCGTGTGTCAATTTATGTTCGAGATCCTCGATTAAAGCTTTAGCCTGAGCCAAATCTTCTTGTAGACTAGCAGATTCAGCCGTCAGAGCGTCATGTCGGCCCTGGAGGAGATTCTTCTCATCATTCCTCTGTTGGAAATCTCTCTGTAATCCTTGCAGACTTTCGAGTCTAGTAGCTAGAGCTTTTCGTTCACGAATAGTCTGATCCAAGTCATTTTCAACCATCTCAATTTTATCATGAAGACTCTGCTCCTTCGCTTCACTGTCACGTTTCAAGTCTTCCAATTTCTCTTGCCATTTTTTGACTTCGCGTGTTTTTTCGGCATGCTGCTGTTCCAAGTTTTGGTGTCGTTCTCGAAGATCTTCCAGTTCGTCTTGTAAACGGTTGGCCTTCTCCTCAATCTGGCGACTCAAGCCTTTAGTTGTGATGGACTTGTTGGCTAGCTCATCCTGGAGTTCTTCTAGATTGGCTTCGGCACGCTCTTTATCCCGAATGGCTTCTTGATGATCCTCTTTGGCTTCTTCGGCTTCCATTCTCAAGCTTTCTACATCACGCTCTAATTCCTTAATCAATGACTCGGCCTCTTTGAGCTCTTCATTGGATTGGCCCGTTGCTTTCTCTTCCAACTCTATCGCTCGGCGTTGCGATTTCTTCAGAGCTGTCTCTAAGTTAGAGATAGTTCCAACATGTTTCTGAACATCATCCTTCAAATTGTCAATATCGTCTTCCCTGTCATTAATGAGCCGATCTTTTTCGCGTAGGTCTGCTTCCAAATCGTCGATTTTGTTCTCCATATCGGCGTACTTGTCTTCCTGGCTTCGCACTCGGTTTAGTTCATCTTCCTTCTCCTCCAAAACTTGACGCAAATTATCTAGCTCTTCCTGTTGCCCGGCACTCACATGCCTCCTCTTGAATTTCTCCTGCATGTCCAGGATCTGTTGTCGATATTGCTCGACATCCTTTTCGGCTGCAGTCAATGTCTTTCGGAATTTTTGCAACTCCCTTTGCATGGTAACTTTGTCGACTTTAAGCTCAGTGTTCTCTTTTAGTGCAGCTTCACTAAATCCCGGCCCTGCCTTTCTCAAGGCCTCTTCCAAGAAATGGATCTTAAGTTTTAGTCCGAAGTTTTCTTTCTCAATTCTGTCAATGACGTTTTCTTGCTCGCGTAGTGACAGTTGGTTTCCGTCTTGTAGAACCCCAGGTCCCTCGTTTCGCCGGGGCAGTAAAGCTGCGGGGGTCGAAGCTGTACTACTGTCGATGTGCGGCATGGGAGTACCAGCCATAAAAGAACCTGTTCTTGTTGAATCGTCCCCGTATGCTGATCCGGCGGGTAATGGGCTGAAACCTTCCTGAATTTTGTCCAATCCACCTGCCCGAAGAAATGCTGGTGTCGCCTGAACGTTCTCTTTATTATTTCGACGAGTGCTATTCATCGTCGCATTCTTCAGTAGAGGTGTGAACTCTCCTCCACCAAGCCCCGCTGGCAAATTTCTTCTGTCCCCAAGGGTAGTGCGACTTCTGGGAGTGCGAATATTGACACCACGGCGGCCATTTTGCATCTGCGAAACTAAGTTGTTGTCTTTTGACGGCGACTGAAAAGACTGTTCTTGTGAAATATCGAAGTCGAGGGCATGACTACCTAAATAAGTAGCATCTCCAAGAGCCGTTCGTGGTGTATCAAGCCCTGCTATTCCAGCTTGCACCATTATGGAAATTGTTGTGAGCTTTGAAGCTCAAATTAATGCAATAAAACCCTTTATAATTTACTGTAAAAAAGATGCAAGAATAGCGACCATAGCGATTGACCCCAAATCAACGGCAGTGTCTTCATTCAAAGTGCAATTGTAAAAGAATAAGCTGAAATCGTGGTTTTTGGGGACGCGTTGTGAGAATTGAAGTTTTCTGAGATGATATCAATAGATACGCGATGGTCTCGATTGTTTACGTTCTTTCCAATGGAGGTTAGCGTCGGGTTGCCAAAACAAACACCTCGCACGGCTCTTTTTTTGTGCCAATGATATTAAACGATCATACAGAATGTTCAGCCTCATCAAACTTCGAAAGTCTCGTCAACACCATCTGCTTTTGAAATATCGAAGCTTCTGTAATTACGAATATTGCTAACATGGATGGGCTTGATGATGATTTTAGAGGGTTCGATGAAGGCTTCAATGGATTTCCTAAAAGACTTCCCGATGATTGTGTGGAATACTCACTTTACATCATTGACGCCAAGCTGAAATCACAAAAGGATTTACTTAGCAAGTTAGAGGATGTGCGGAAAGAGTCTTTGAAACTTCTGAAGGATCTTACTAAAGATTATATATGGCAACGGGATGGCTTTAAGGTGGAAATGAAGAATGAGAAGGGTACGATATCCACAATATATCGTCATGCGTCAAATGATTAACGATTTAGCAGGCTCAATGTATCTTAACGGCATTACAAATTATGGAGATTCGGTCGAAGACGAATGGCTTATTGTGTATATACTTAAAGAATTGAGTAGTCGATTTCCTACATTATGGATCAAAGTTGTGGACTCCGATGGCGAGTTTCTACTGATTGAAGCTGCAAATGCTCTACCAAGGTGGTTGAATCCTGAAATCGCAGATAACAGGGTGGGTATTCTCGTTCATATAAAATAAGGAACAAGTTCTGACACCTAGCAGGTATGGATTCATAATAATGCTCTTCACATTATACCATTGCGTGCAATCACTGATTCCTCAACCAAAACCCCAACTGCTCCAATAACTCGATCACTTACCTTAGAAGAAGCCCAGAAAACCATATCTTCAACCCCAGAAATACTCATACGCTCACCCATGATCGAAGAAGAGGCATTTTATCGTTTGCGAAACTACCCGGCCCAAATTGCAGCATCCCTTCATCATGCTCGCATCACAATACCGCGGAAAGTTGCCTACCTACTACATCTTCGCCCAACCGCTATAGCCCCGGCAGTCGAAGCATTTTATCTTCGTGATCCAATTGCACTCAAGCCTCTTCAAACTCCCTCATCTAAACTTGCATTCCCTCCAAAGGATTTAGTCACTGTCTCAACCCGATTTACAAAAGTTCTCTATGCACAGCTGAAGTCGCAACAGTTTTCTGCCCCTATTGCATGGAAGGATATTTTAACACCGCCAAAGAACGACGCAGAGTTGGAAAACTTTACAAGATTAGAAATGGGAATGAAGATCACTTCAGGATTCGAAATGCTAGTTACAGATACGACAAATGCCGATCATCGATCCGTCAGAGAGATCAATATACTTCTAGAGGATCTCGAGGAAGACGCTTCCAATCTTCCTAACGATGACGAGATTCTGACGTGGAAGGACAATATGAGAGAGGATGATGAGAAATGGCTCGACATCAATTTCGAGGATTTCGAGAGAGAGCTAGATGGAAAGAATAAGGACAAGAAGTCGGCTGGAATACCTGGAGCTTTTGGACCGGAACCCCCGTCCGGATTTGGCGATGCAAAGACTGAAGCTGATTTAAAGAAAATGGTGGAACGTTTTGAAGCTTTCCTAAATGACGATGATGCCGGTCCCGACGGTGCTGAAATGGACGAGATGGATGTTGATGACGATGAAGACGACGACGAAGACGACGATGATGTCGATGATGAAGACAGCGAGGAGGATAAAGATGTTAGCTTTGATGAAGTGGAATTTGCAAAGATGATGAGAGAGATGATGGGTATGCCAACGGATGACATAAATGAGCCTGCATCTCGATTCAAGCCAGGTAATTCCCGCAGGGTTGAAGAAATCGATAGTGATGATGACAATGAAGAAGGCGATGAAATGGAGGAGATACAAAAAGTGATGAAGAGGATGGAAGCAGAATTGAACGAAGCTGGAGCGCTCAATTTAGATCCAACCCCAAGCAAGATTTCTACCCTCTCCGGAAAAGGGATGAGCACTGGAAAGGATAAGCAACGAGCAGAAGTAGATGAGGAGGACGAGGAAGAGGAAGAAAGCGATGAGGAACTGGACATCGATTTTAATCTGGCGAAAAATCTGTTAGAAAGTTTCAAGAGTCAAGGAGGCATGGCTGGGCCCGGGGGCAATCTACTAGGTATGATGGGTATGAAGCTACCTCGCGACGAAGATGACGAAGGAAGAAGTCGTGGAAAGAGACCTGAATAAAGGTTGAACAAAAAATATAAGATATTTGACTATTGTTTGGGTATCACTAATTACATCAAAAAATCGCTAGTATGCCTCAATTTTCATCCACCAAATCCTCGATACCAATTTTTTGCCTCTTGGAACTCTCGGCCTCCGGGGCTCCAGACGAACTCAGGCTTCGCGCTCTCTTGAGCATATCGTTGACTGCAACATCCACTTTTTCTAATTCTGATAACGCAGCGGTTAAATTCCTCCGGTTTTCCAACTCGCGTCTACTGCTGTCGCTTTGGGGTCGGTAGTATTCTGTCACTATCCCAAGTACAGCCCTGTAGCAGCGGTAGAGCAACAATCTTACTTCTACATTCCCTGTATCCTCGATGAGATCATCTTCATCACCTGCCTTCCAGCCTTCCATGAATCCTTCACTAGGATTTTCGAAAACATTTGAGAGTAATGGATCTCCAAAGACACCCTGACTCCAGTTTCGTAGCCCTGTCAATTTAAGACTTTCAGTCGGAATGTGCGAACTGCCTTCTTTGATTCCATTCTCGATCATTACGTTCCGTTCGCCTAGATCTAGTAGTACCAATCTAGGAAGTTTGACGGCGTCCATGCGCCAAGATAGACGCTGGTAGTGTGATCGCACTACATCGTATGGAAGTAAGACGGCCATATCCTCTCCATCTCGTAAAATTGATTCAAGTAGGGTATTGAAAGCTTCTGACCAGGTTGGGGAGCCTGAGCCTAATGGGGCTGAAGGGGGCGATTGCTTAAAGGGATCTGGGAGGACTCGGGCTGCTGTACCGAATGTGCCATTGGGTGATGTGAGGGAAGCTAAGCTTCGAGTTAGAGATCCGACTTGTTTGTCGATGAGGCGCCGGTCGGGTAGACTGAGGTACACTGAAAGTGCAGAAAGTGTTTTTCCGGCTGTCGGTTCGAAGATTGTGTATGGTAATGCCATCTCTCGGTTATTGGATGAATGCTTGAGCATTTTCGGTATCACGTCTTCTAGTTTTATGGATGCTAAATCATGTTCTACATCTTCCATACCATTGGTATTTACGCCTTTGGATTTTTGGCATGACGTATCGAGGAATTGTACGAGAGTTGCTTCAGAGTACTGAAGCGTGGTCTCGTGTCTCAAGAGACGAACTGCTAAACTGGGCGCAAAGGACAGGAGAAGCTTGTTATCATTCGACATGTTGAGAGTGTACAGTCTGGGTAGTTGAGTAGAGGGTAATTCTTCGACACTTCCTAGTTTCATATCCGGTACCACATGGCTAAGTATCTCCTTAAGACGTCGTACTGGGACCGAATACATAAGCGACGTCTTAAAGGACTTGCCAGGGACGGCAGTCTTGTACGAAGCCATTATGAGCAGTGAGGTGGTATTCAGATATGAGGGTGAGATGTGGATATGTATGGTTTTGGGATAAAGTGGAGTCAGTGGGTTTGATCAGCCTGAGGATGAGGGTGGGCAAATTGATAGGGATATGATATGTATGCCGTGTTTCTGTAATCTGGCAGTAGCTGTTCTCGGTTGCTTACTGACTCGGATAATAGCCTAGCCGGGCTTTTACCTTAATATGATATGTGTAGGGTTGGCCAGGAATATTTGGCGGCACTCTGGTCTCGTCAATTCGCTTATAGTGTGTTTCAATTGGTCCAATTGCAGTGATGAAGTCCGTGGCAACTGGCTCCTTTGAGCTCCACAATAATGGAAATTAGATCTTTGGAAGATCGGCGGTGGAAGGGACGCACAACACCCAAATTATGTGATTAGGTAGAAATATTGTTCTGCATCGAAGTATTGATGTACAGTTGTAAAAGTAATGCTCGTGCTCTTTGGTGTTTGGGTATTGGATGCCTTAAGGTGGTACTCAACAAAATATTGGTGCCTGCGAAGAGATGCAAGGCAGCCACCTACTTGAGAATCCTGAAGTGTTCTGCCGGTAGGAGAACATGAATTGGGTAATTTCCTAATAATGGATAATTCTTTGAAATGGGTAAGTGGAATAAAATACGAAGTTCTTGAAATCTTATCGGCGACAGGATGGATTGTGGATAATTATGGATGTTTGATGAACTTGAGCTGTATTGGGTATCTATTTTGTCGTTGTATAGGTCCATCGACGAAGAAGTAGATATAAAGTAATTCTCGAAGCGAAAGATGGATGTCACTTTTCTAACGAGAAACGGAGATTTGGACGAAAAGGGTTTAGACAACCGATTGGAGGTGAGATTAAGGCGTTGTTTTGAACGATTCTGGATTCTGGAATATTGGGGGAGAACTTTTCCGGGACATGGAACTTGTACTAGAAAGGCAATTTTTGAGAATCATTCATGTATGGTGACAAGATGAAATAGAATCTAGAAAATTAGTGGAGTGCGCTTGAGGCGTGTATAGGAGGTCTTTTCTTAGATAGCTCCCGCCATGGAATAACAATCGTGTCTAGTGTTGGAACTTGGAAGCTTGGTTGGCAAGATGTGGAGACTTCAGGTACGGGGTGTTCGATGTAGGTAAAATTTAAAGAACTAGATCATAATGGGTAACAGGATCTTCAATATCCCGGTCTACGTATTATCATCGATCCAATTACGGGATTGTCGAGAGTCGAGATTATGTTGATGTCGAAAACTTTGGTCCCCGAGACATTGGCATTGATGCAAGAAGATACCGATGGCTGTAGATGTAGATGTAGATGCAGAAGTAAAGATTGTGAATGCAGTTCGGACATGAACGGAGGAATACACATACATATCAAACTACATACCAGAACGGATTAGATGTCGTATTTTTCTTGAGTGATTAGTATTGATTGGTATTTGTGGTTGTAAGTGTAGTGGCTGGAAGTGGAATTTGAATTGATTAGATTGGTGGGGGTATGTTAAGCCTAAGGTAACATCAAAAGGTACATCCACACTATCCATGGTAATCCATTCCTTTCCCTTGGGTTGTGTTATGTAGACCAGGGGGGGAAAGTACGATTTAAATTCTACGATTGGACGGGAATAAGCGAGCTTTTTACATCGGGAAGGTGTAGGTTGTATGGGATTATTTGGTCATCCACCATTCATGCACATACATATACCTATGCCTATACACTACATACGACATGTATACCACTGAGTGATGCTGTAAAAGTGTTAAGACGTTTTCAATACGGACTCATGCATTGAACGCATAAATCTGAAATCCCGACGATTCTGAGAGCTGCACTCGACACACGCTGCAGCTCAGGAACGAAATGGGGGATCGGCGAAGGAAATTGGAGGAGAAAAAAAAAATCTCATGATCATGAAATCATTCAATGGAGCTGAAGTGGATATGGGTTCCAACACTAGAAACAGATCTTTCCGTGTTGAAATATGGACTTAGTACATATCGTCCTAACACTCCACCTCTAATCATCTGTTCCGACGAGAAGGAAGAATATATTAAACACGTGTGGTACTGGGTGATTTACGAGAGAATTGTAACCTATATGAATCTGATGATATACCCGGGTACGTACTTTCGAACGGAGTATGATGCATGCTGAGAAGAAAGAAAGCCACCACCTTGTTGGAGGAACGCCAGGTAATTTCGTCTGATGTTCGAGTATTCATCTCATCATATTCCTATTCCCATCAACACAACCATCTCAACCTTCCCAAATCACTAATCTAATACCAAACCCCAAATCTCAATCCCATATACTAGTAACTAACTCAATTCACCGTTCTCTTCCCAAAAAAATTCCTCGGATCAATCAGTTCCACCCTCGTTTAATTTCAGCCGATCAGGTTAGCCGCTCCCATTTCAGTACTGGCCCGAGTGCGAAACCATGTAACCCCGATGGAGCGCCCAGTAGCGAGCTTGCATACACCATGTACGCGTGTTTAGTACAAACACTTCTGAAGTTCTGGGAAAATTTGCAAAATATTTCACATGTGTATTGTTTGTGTCATTAAAGATGGAAAGGTACAGTTAGTTTCGAGCTTTCTGCATATCATCACACAAATAATTCTAGTTGTAGATAAGGTGCCGTTGTATTTTATGCGGGAGCGAGAACTCAGTTCAGCTGGGCCTTAGTGACATATTAGATAATGCAATGTTGTGATCACTATGTACTTCACATAGACTTGCAATATGCATTATGCACATGCAGTATGGAGTGACGCTTGAAGTATGTCGATGATTCGGAAGAATACAGAGCAACTTTTGATCAAGATCATGGATATCAGTTTTCCAGATAAAAAATTCCCCACAGTCCACGTTTTTTCACTCTTCTAGGCTTCAAAGGTAATATCTACATTCACATGGATCAAAGTCTTGCGAAGCTGTAAATGTAGCGGTCAAACCTGTGCCTCGAGAAGCCCTAGAAGCCGGATATGCACCCTTATCCCCTGCAATGAAAGGGTGGGATTTTAGGTACGGGTTTGTTGAGGAACTTGAATGCGACATGACATGAAATGATATGATATGATTTATGAGTAAGGTAAGCTGATCTAAGCGCCTGTGCAGATCGATTGGTATGAGATATGCGCAAGTATTCAAATGCCCGATTTTGGTATGTTGCATCCTTTGCGTCACAAGGAACATTTGCACATCTCATCTCTGGAAAATGGTAGCTGGCATAGGTGACACAAGGTGATGCTAGTAATCTAAAACAATTAACTGCCGTTCGATTTCTCGGGTAGAGCCCGAGTCTCGTCTGTAATTACGTTTTCGGGCGTAGCTCTTGCTTTGGCATCTGCTAGTCCCCCAGATTTTAAACTCGCTGAAGGTGACTGGAGCTCGTAAAGGTTATAGCGCTTAAGCTTTTCCCAGTCATCTCCAACGACACTCATACCACAGATAGTCTAGCCAATGCAAGTTAGCATGCTGATCTCTGCATTTGTGGGTTTGCATTTGTTACCTGGTAAATCTCGATTATTATCACTTTGTCTGGCTTAGTGAGATTGACTTTATGATTGTCATCCACCAGAGATGCGACCTGTTTAATCACGACATCCCGCTTTAATGTGCTATGATTGCGTATCGTGGGTCGAATAGCATACTATAATGCGGTTAATGAATGTTGACCCAAAAGTCAAACAATCTAATCAAACTTTGAGGCTAGAGCTTCAATGTCGTGGCAGCACTATACGCAAAATAGGAATACGTACCGAGTGTGCAGCAACTTCTTCTGATTTTGCGGCTTCTCCAGCAAGTCGGAAATGAGCACCTAGCACGGCTTGTCCGACTTCTTCGATACCTTTTTCTGTTGCTTTCCCAATAATTGACATTGGTGTTAGACGATTTACAAACCTCAATTTTCTCACCCCGCCCGATGCTGCATCTTCACACATCCTGTGAACGAGATCGGCTGGGTCTATTGGCGATCGTGTTTTGAAAAACAGCACGCACTGAATATCTAGGTAAATTGCAGAGAAAAGCTTCTCTGCAGGATCTTTATGCGCTGCAACTTCTTTTCGAATGGATGCTTCAATATCATCAACTGATTCGGTAGCATCTTCGTCTCCCTCACCCTCCTTTTCGTTGCTTGACTTCGCGGAGATACCATAGTACTTCTCAGCAGACTAATTGCAATTTAGCATAAACCGGTAGAAGTCTGGGGCTAAAACTTGATAACTAACCTCCTCGAGTAGACTCCTCAGCTCCTCTGTCGCCTTTCCTTCTTTGCCCTTCACGCACGTTGCCCAAATCCCTTGGTCACCTGGTTCTATCTTCCCACCACTCTTAGAGGCCATTTTGGTTTGCTGATGTGGAGTTTGCCATTTGCCATTTGAACCACCCTACATAAGAAGTCAGAGGAGTTTCGGAGAGACAAATGAGGTCAAATTGAAGCATATATTGTCGAGTGCGAGAACCATTTTGAAGTACCACAGTAACTCTGAATCAAAAATTGACAGCCTGTCTAGGCCCTCTTCCACTAAGTTGCAACATCCCATTGATGATGAAAACAGAAAACATGCTCTGGTCTGCATGTCCCGGAGCCATCACGAAATTTGAAATTTTCTTTCAAGTAAATCTGATTGAATAAGTTCCTTGGCAGTCAATCTCGCCGAGGGACCACTCTTGAACCGAAGACTTCAATTGAAATCAAGACTCGTTTCCTTTCTCGACTGCCCCCAAAACCATCACCAAATCACATACAATTGCTTCAATCCCCTCCTCTCCTGCGTTCACTCCAAATATAGAGCCATCATGAATAAAGAAAGAAAAAGGAAAGCCTCATACCTTAGCTCTTTTCGCCCCTCTATTATCCCCGTCTCTCACATCTCTCGCATCTCTTCCGCCGCCTCCAGATCTTTCTTTCCTCTTGTTATTCGAATCCGCCATATGCTCAACTCGCGCCCACCAAATTGTACTTGCAGACTCAGTTTTAATTCAATCCCACCTTGCTTCTGCAATTTATTAGAAGAAGATGTGAATTCGTTGTTTTTAAAACTTGTCCGACATTGAAGATCACGCCGCTCAAACAAAATGGAAAATGTCGCTTAGTCAGACAGTCTAAAATACCCCACTTCGCCGCATTGAGGCAAGGTGTGAATGGGTGGGAGATTTGAAGATGGAAAAGCAAGATTTCCATTAGAATTTCGAAGTTGAAAGTTTCAAATATCCTGCAGTCGATCACATTCCATGATATTCTTGTATTTTGATTTCACTCCGGTATATCAAACTTCTAAGTCAATTCCAAGGCTTCCTTGATGTATTCATTCGACGGAATCACAGCAATCAAAGTGTTACAATTTCTTGTTCTGACGGATACAGCAGAGAAGAATTCCATTATTTCATTATTTTCATTATCCTAACCGGGTACCCGATCCGTACGCCTCCAATGCCCCAATAATTTTGATTTCGAAGCTCGAAGTATTGTTTACTCCTTCGCGTTGTTCTTAGCACTCGCCTCAGCCGTCAAGACCAATGCTCTTGGAGCATCCTCCTTTGGAATATACAATTCCACAAACTGCAGACAGTCCGCAGAGTTGAACTCTTTATTCGTAAAAAGCTCATTGACTTGGTCTTTGGTCTTAATCTGGTGAAGCTTGTATTTGCCTTCTTTGGCACCAAATGCTGGGACCAGATCTTTGTTGTTCCAGGGCGCAATATCATTGTATTCTGCTTCCATGCCGTGAATAAATCTCTCAATGGTGTAGCCGTCATTGCAAATCACAAAACTTCATTGATCATTAGCCATAAAATCTGTTGAAAGGAGAAGCAACGTAACTTACATGATAGGTTTCAATCCAAGGCGGATCATTGTGCTTACTTCTTGAGCCGTGAGCTGGAAACTACCATCACCAACAAACAAAATGGTTCTCCTGTCATCTCCAGCATCTCTGGCGGCCAGTGCAGCACCTTGACAAGCACCAACGGAGTACCCAATACTACCCCACAATACCTGGCTGAGAGCTGTAACTCCCTTTGGAAATTTCGTCTCCCAAATACCGAAGTTGGCTGTTCCAGTCTCGGTAATGACAATATCGTTCTCCTTCAAGAACTCGCCAGCCCTGGGCCAAAACCATGCTTGAGTGATGGTATCTGAGCTATCTTCATTTGCGGCAACCTTGTTTTCCATCTTGGGCCCTGGAACGGCAGAGAGCTTTTGAAGGTCAATTTTCTTGATAATCTTCTGCAAAACCCCGCGCATGTGAACGCCTGGGTATTCAGAATAACGAACGACAATTGTTGTGCTGTGGAAGTCGATTGTGTTAAGTTGAGAAGTCTTATAGGAGAATCCGGCGGTGTTGAAGTCACTCTTGATGGCTCCAATCGTCAAAATAAGGTCCGAAGACTCGACTCGCTTTTTAACGTCTGGCTGACTACCACTTCCCGCGTAGACACCTCCATAATTTTCGGAGGTCTCGTCGACGGCACCCTTGCCCATTGGAGTGACAAAGACAGGCAAGCTAGTCTTTTCTATCAATCCGTGCACCTCTGGGATGACTCTGTGTCTAATAGCGCATGCGTCAACGAGGATGATAGGGCTTTTCGCGGCCTCAAGATACTTGAGAACTACATCAACGACGTAATCCTCTTTGTCCGGGTTATTTGAGGGTAGAGACAAGTCAATGGGTGTCTTCAACCGTTCTCCTTCTACCTTCTTCTGAACCATATCTGTTGGCAGTGTAATGTAGACCGGCTGGCTATGAATCCAGCATTGCTGCAGCGTATGATCGATCAAGGCAGCAGCTTCGTTAGGATCATTAATCTTGGCCATTGCGCAAGAGATCTCCTTTGACATATCTGCGAAAACATTAAAGTTTCCGTTTCCAAGTGTATGATGCAAAAGCATGCCATCCTTTTGCGAAATTGTTGAAGGGGTGCCAACTATGTGGACAATAGGGACTCGTTCAGAGTATGCACCCGCCATGGCATTGATCGCTGAGAGCTCTCCCACGCCAAAGGTAGTCATGATTGCCGAAATTCCTTTCACACGAGCATAGCCATCGGCAGCATATCCTTTATAAAGTTATCGTTAGTTATGAAACATTGGCTGATAGAGGAAAACTGACCTGCATTCAACTCGTTACAATTGCCAACCCATTTCAATCCAAGTTTAGGGATGTAGTCAAGAGCAACCAAATTGTAATCTCCTGGCAAGCCATGAATAGAGTCGATTCCAATTTGCTTCAATCTCGTGAATAGATACTCAGCAATATCCACTGGGGATTTAAGAGACTCAGTCCTGAGATCCACCATGTTGATTGATAATGGCGGGGTTGTTAGAAGTAGCACTTATGAGATGTATGGAGGTTCAAATGTTTAACTTGTTCTCGTTGAATGATGTATGAAGAAATATTAAATAGATGAGAAAGCAATGACATTCAGAAATTAAATACGAAATCGGAAAGAAACTCCTCAGTCTTTATAATAGTTTGTCTCTGGCTTTGGACAGCCGTTTCTGCCGTCGATACCGATATCACCCATCATCCATCAAATCACCCCACCAAAAATGACGTTTTGCTTGGGTGAGCTCTTTTGAGACTGGAAGCTGCAACGGCAAAGCATGATTTTAACTCCATCATGGGCTTATTAAGTAAGCCACACATTTCTTTCATCCATACAGATCTACTCATAGAACATTCAGATCCGCACATTGAATGTTGTTTGTCAACGACTGGATGATTCCGATGTCAATGGAATAAGGTTATCGAAAAGTGGTCTGATGGAAGATACGAGTATCATGGTAAAGAAGTTAAGAGATTCAATTTGTCGATTTACATAGAAAGAGGTTTGGTATGACAAAGTATGATCACCTAGGTGGTATGTGAGGAACAAATGATTTGACGTATTGACTGCATGAGAGTGGAAACTCAATTACGATGTACAGGAGAAAAGTGGATAGATAGCTCGAGGCTCGAGATGGTCATCATGGACTAACTAGATGGTATACTTCATACCAAATATTTTAGTGTGCCGTTATTGGCATCAACTGCATCCTGCTATTTCATACCTTGATTTGAAAACCGATCGTTCCATGAGGATTTCGCAAGTTCCGCCGTCGGTTGATTCGCTGTCTCTATCTCTCTCGATGCTCGATATTGTAGAGTATCAATGAATCGGGAGCTTGTAAATGTTTTTGTGTAATATTGAATATGGATAATGATTATCTAATTTGATATCGAATATTAAAAATACACTTTCTTGGTGTCCTGGGGGTTTTCGTCTTGCTGCAGACTGTCTACTCCTTGTATAAATTATCCAGTTACTCCTTCGTACCGGTAACATCATGCTGCTCAAGAACAGAAATCCGAATGGGATAGATAACCGTGATCCGGCAACACTTTGGAATTTGTGGTTTGCTTAATATCATGATCAGTGTATGAACGAACTCCTTTAACCAGGTCCTCGTAAATTGACGTGCGAATAGGAAGTAAGCTGCACCTTCTACACCTTTCTTGGTTCCACACACATCTTCGTTGGTGAATAGGAGGTAGAGTCAGAAACGAGCTTACAGCTCACCTAGAGTTATACTATTTGATGGAAACCCATGCATACTTAATCTTGATCACTTGATTGACGCTCCACTGGCCCTCCGGGAGCCACTGCCGTGGAGGCAGGCTATTCGGATACGAAATAGCACATAGTACATCTCTTCCCAATGGAATCTTAGGTGTTGCTCATATTTTTGGTTGATGCTCTTGAGTATATGAGGACTAGGTAGATCAGATGCAGTACATACGGGTAGGTATGTTCTAGATATATGGGGTGACTTGTTCAATATACCCTACCCACCTCGATGCCTCTCACAATACAAAGGTGCCCTGCTCGGTTGCCCTGTTGCCCCGTTGCCCTGCAATTTTGAAACATAGGGAAAACCGTGATGTGGCTGAGGCAAATCAAATTTTGCTGATAATTGATAAAAAAACCTAAGCGGGGGTGAATTGAATGATTGTCCGGTACTTAATCCTTCCTTTCTTTCTATACCCTACGAGCAGACTAGGGAGTTCGAAATCTTTAGCCTTGTTTACAAAATTCCCCCCATGCTATGCCATGCCATGCTATGTACAATACTACTACCTAGTAGGTAAAGAGAGGTATTGATAATATATGCCTTTGGTCCTAAAACCCTTGGAAAATAATTATTCAACCCATCTACACAAATTATTTACATGAAATTTAATCTTTTCTTTTTGCTTCAATTTGATCTACTTCTAACATCTCTTTCATAAGATTACACATACACAGTATAAGAAATCTAGTCCTCGATTTTGCGACAATCTCTCGGCGCCTATACCCGTCGTACCTTGGTTGGTTATCTTTGCGAACATTCCAAACAAAGGCCAGCATTGCGATTTTCCAATATTCTTTGGACTCGCTCAAATTGATCTAAATATGCGCAGGCGACCATGAACCAGCGCCCCCGAAGCTCTTCCACAAGATCAAATACAAGCTTTTTAGACTCAAGTCGTGCTGTGCAGGCCTCACCTCGAAACAAACCTTCGAATAACGAGCTTACAATCCCTGAAAGTAATTTACTTCTCAACAACGTTCCAACTTACGCAGTGAGTAGCTCTGCAAGTCTACTCATTCCTACCGCCTACGGAACAGGTTCATCTTATCCTACAATTGTTGCATCGAGCTCCCCATCGCGACCCAGAGCTCATTCTGCGGCGACCAACCCGCAACCCCCTTCTCTGTATTCGCCTGCTACCCATTCTCGACATTCTACGCGATCTGGCTCGGAAATCTCAATGTCGTATCAGCCAGGAAGATATCAGTCGGCCGGCGACCAAAGGCAATATGGGCTCCCTCCACCACCTCCCATGTCCCCGCCATCCCAACCGCATATGAACCAGCTGAACTTGAACAATATACCTCCACCACCGCCTCGAAATAACATACCTCCACCTCCACCTATAGTTTCGAATAACTGGCAACAGCCACAGCAAACTTGGCTGGTCAACAATAATAGACCATTCCCTGGGCCACCGGCTAATCCTCCAAACACAAGTCAATATCACGCCTACAATCCTGGCCAGCACCATCAACCTGCGCCGTTATCGATAGGTCAGCCTCAATCGAATAGTGAGCAGATGTCAGCAACATATATACCGCGCGGGGAATCATTTGGACCTGGTGTTGGGATACCTGGCTTAGGATGGAGCAGTCAAGAGAACTATAGGGATAGTGCGGACTTTTCTGCTGTATCGGACAGCTCAAGAGGAACACCATTAGAAGACAGTAATTATTACAAGGATCGATCATATCCATCGCAGACACCTCAACGGTTCAATAACATTCATCTCCCGGAGTATGATTCCCCAGGCCCCCCTACAGCAACTATTACGAATCCACAATTGTCTTCGGCCACCAATAGAGGCTTGACAGCAACGTCAAACAATTCACATCAACATGCGTCCGGTAATAATTCGAACACGCCAATCTCACCGAATGATGCGGGTTCTCAATGGTCCATGAATCGCGTTTTGTTGTGGCTGGCTAATAATCACTTTTCTAATGATTGGCAGGAAACTTTTAAAGCATTGAATATATATGGCTCCGTATTCCTCGAACTTGGCAGTGTTCATGGTGGGAGAGGTAACTTTGGGATGATGCACCAGCAAGTATATCCACGGCTAGCAAAAGAGTGCTCCAGTAGTGGAACTGGCTGGGATCAAGCTAGGGAGCGCGAAGAAGGGAAAAGAATGCGACGTCTGATTAAGGCTATTGTGACTGGGAAAAGTCTAGAAGGCACCAAGTCATCACAAATTCGGCGGCAGTCATCCGCGGCTAACCTTATTACAAGACCCAGTACAGAGAGCAGTCTGGATAGCTTTTCTTATCATGGCCGTGGAAACGGAGCTTCCATATCTACGCCAAACACAGCCAATGACGATGATAATAGTCCTGGAAAACAAATGTCGACAAGTTCTGGACAAGTTGTTGGAACGAGAAGGCATTCAGGAAGAAGTACTACTATGCCTATTTTGAGCAATATCAATACCGCAGAAGAGAGCGATTTCAATAACAGCCGAAATTCTCATCGAAATGTTTTAAAAAATATTGATAGTGATGGCGCCCGACGTCATAGTCCAAGCGCCAGTAATGAACTCAACGAAGGAAGTTTCAAGCCGCAACCTCTGCGTCTGGATGGGAGTCCGAAGAGCGGTAGTCCTGCTGGGACATTCGCAACGCTTCACACACCGGTAGGGCAAAACCTATCAGCTTCGCCTCGTAGTGCTGTATTTGGCCATCGACCAAGCAATAGCACCGACTCCATATCTTCTAGCCAGGCAATTTACGGATCTGGGGTGCCACCAGGTGCTAGCCAAGCACTCAGAGGTGGAATGGGAGGGGCTGTAGGCGAAGTCAGCCTTGTAAGAAACCAAGAAACTCGAAGACATGGTGTTGACGTATCACGTCCTTCTCCCTTGGATGGCGAGCGTTCCGCAAGCTCAGAACAACCCACATCCGCAAGAGAATCGAGAGGGTTTCTCAGTCACTTCAAAGGGAAAAAGCGGCGAGGAAAAGAAGATGGCCTAGCCCCATCGCCCGAAGATCAGAATCTTGATTCCCCTACTAGCCCATCTCTTGGCTTTAAAGCCGCACCTTTCTTGGGCAATGGCAGGATTAGCAACTCTAGCGAAACTTCATTGGACCGACCTTTGTCCACATTCTCCGCGTCAGAATATGATAAATTCGCGCATGGAAAGGGATATCGCGGCGTGCGAGCTACGGGGAGGAATTTTGTCTTGGCTACTACAGACGGGTGGAATTTTCGTCTGTGTGATGTCACTGAAATCGATAATGCGCAAGATCTTAAGGCTACGATATGTTCTAATTTAGGCGTTCTTGACTCAGAATTTACACATTTTTATCTTACAGAACTAGGTAAGATGGAGCACGAAGAAGCATTGGATGATAATAAACTTCTCTTTTGCAAAAGGCACAAAGCCGATCAGTCTGGTAACCTCAAATTCTTTGTTAGAGGAGCAACAAACTCTGCAACATCACTGCCTGCCTCGCAATCCGCAGGTCACGGCATGAACTTTACGACGAAACTGAGTGGGCTTTCTCCTATTTTACCCCCAACCGCGCCTCTCGATGAAGAGGCTTATGCCCTTTTAAATGGAAGCAGAAGACGATCCAGCTCATCACCACCTACATCACGCCAAAATACGATCAAGGGGGGTTCTACACCTCAGAAAGACAAGCCTGCACCTACAACTGAAACACCAGATGCACTCCGTGAGCGCCTAATGGCGTACAGAGCATCACACTTAGGGGAGAGAGAAATACCAGAAGCAGATAGACAAGCGTTCATAGCAAT